AAACGATTCAGTTTTCAAATATCTTGAAGATAACAACAGAGATATTTTCTATTTTATAGCTCTATTCTTTTAGAAAAGTAAATTACATATACTTTAATATTTAATTATAATTCGCGCAAGTTTCTTTATGTCAGGTGAGTCCAAGCACGCAAAATCAATGAGAATAGGTTTCGTAATTGGGTATAATATGAAAAAACACAACTACTTCCACTTCGAAAATTTTACTAGGAATAACATTAACCTTTTAGTTTAATTAATAAACTGAGTTTTAAATATGTTTACTAAATTCATAAACTTAGATATAACAACAAAATAAATTATTTCAAAAAGAATTAGACTAATACAATTGCAACCTGGCGAGTAGCGACTTGTCTATATATATAAAAGTGAATGTGTGTCTGTCCTCTATAGACTCCTAAACCATCCGACAGAAAGCTATGAAACTTGGCATACAGATAGTTCAAAGCACGAGGAAGGTTTCTGTAAAAATCATTATTTCATAATGGTAATCAGCACAGTAAGCTACACGGTTACAGGACTTAGGGCCAAAAGCTTTCAAGCACTAGCAAAAGCACTTTCAGGCACAAGCATATTAAGTAACGGGAAGTAGGTTAATCACGTTTCGTCTTCATGAAAATATATATTTATTTAAAGTTATACACACAGATAGGCTTGTAGAAACACGGCTTTATAAGCATTGACAAAATTTCGCACAAACTTATTAATAATTAGTGTTGAAATAATACAAATGAAAAATATCCAATTTGGAATTTTTTGATTTATTAATATAATCGTAAAAATTGTGGACAAAATGTTTCCTTTTAATGTTACTAGAGGGCTCTGTTGTGAGTAGGGAGAAAAGAAACTTTGGAAAAAGCATTTTGATGATGTCACAGTTTAGTAACTTAAGTGGTTTTTGTTCGTGAGTTCAGATTTAAATGTTATATTAATTCTAATGTCAAATACGCCATAATTTTTTGCGCACTATGAAAAATTTTATTTTTTTAATTGGTTAAAAATTTATCGATATTAATCATAAAATTACACTGAATTTTTTTTTTAATTTTTTTTTTTATATAAAATAAATATTTTACCTCTTTTTATACTGTAAAACCAAAAATGTTTCTTTAAAATTTCTAGATATAAATGGAATGAATTTGAATATTATCAATATCACCAAGCTTTCCCAATACTAGTTAAATACTGGTCTCAGTTTTACCATGAATATTTACTAGCCTACAGTGAGTTGGATATGTCTTAAAGAAGAAAAAAACATTATTCCTTTTAAATCAATTTTTTCTAAGATCTCTACATTTTCTTAGACAAATAAATTTCAAAAAAAAATTCTATTCGAATAAGAATTATTCTAGTAAAAAATTCTAATTTTGAAGGCGACACTTTAAGTTTTAATTGCTTCTTTTCTATCTTTTCAGTTATGGTCTAAGAACTGCTTCCTTAGGAGACTATTTTTTTTCTCTTACATTTTACTTACATTATTAATTTTATTCAGTCATTTGTTAATTGGCGGGTGAAAATATTTTTCCATGGGGAACTTAAAAATCTTTTCAATCTGGTTTGAAAGGAAAAGTAGTAGAATCGCATTTAAAACCTTTTTTTTTTTNGATGAAATCATCTCTGCAGAAATACCAGACATTGAAATTGATAAAGATTTGCACGAAATTGTCTCAAAAAATATGATTCACGGTCCATGTGGCTCACTAAATAATAATTCACCATGCATGTCAGATGGAAAGTGCACAAAGCGGTATCCTAGAGACTTACTTGCTGAAACTATTACAGGCAATGATGGATATCCACTCTATCGACGACGATCTACCGAAGATGGTGGAAAATCCATTAAACTAAAAGTACTCAACAATACTATTGATGTTGATAATCGTTGGGTAGTACCATATTCTCCATTACTACTAAAAACGTATAACGCGCACATAAATGTTGAGTACTGCAATTCAGTGAAAGCTATAAAATATATTTGCAAATATGTGAACAAAGGAAGCGATATGGCAGTGTATGCACTGGAAAATACAACTGCTTCTAACGATGAAGTCACCCAATATCAACTGGGACGCTACATAAGTAGCAATGAGGCTGTATGGCGTATTTTATCATTTTCCATTCATGAGCGATATCCAACGGTTGTTCATTTAGCAGTACATCTTGAAAATGGACAGCGTGTGTATTTTACATCAGAAAATGTACGTGCAAGAGCAATGTCACCACCGCCAACAACATTAACTGAATTTTTCACATTATGTAGAAATGATACCTTTGCAAAGACACTACTGTACTCTGAAGTACCAACTTATTTTACGTGGAATACATCAACAAGAAAATTTCAGCGTCGTAAACAAGGTAGAGCAGTACAAGGACATCTAAATTTATATTCCACAGATGCATTGGGTCGTCTGTACACTGTACATCCAAATAACGCAGAATGCTTTTACCTGAGATTATTATTAATCAATGTTCGTGGACCAACATCTTTCCAAGAATTAAAAACAGTCAATGGCCATGTGTGTGCTACATTCGTGAGGCTTGCCAGAAATTAAGTCTCTTAGAAAACGATGCTCATTGGGATATTTCACTCGCTGATGCTTCTAATACAGCTCAACCACCACAGATAGGTACACTATTTTCTATCATACTAACTACATGTTTTCCGGCTAATCCAAGGGATCTTTGGGAAAAATATAAAGACTATATGAGTGAAGACATTTTACATCGCATGCGTAGAATAAATGCTAATCCCAACATTCAATTTACATCAAATATATACAATGAAGCATTGATTTTAATTGAGAATGCATGTTTGACAATAGCCAACAAATCACTGACAGAATTGAGAATGATTGCTCCAAATAGATCTGGTAATGACATTTTCGATCGTGATATACAACGAGAAACGCACTTCGATGTTAATAAATTACAAGCATTTGTTTGAATTAATCTTCCGAAATTGGTATTTGAGCAACGAACAGCATATGACACAATTATAAATGCAATATCTAACAAGAGTTGTGGCTTATATTTATTAGATGCACCTGCAGGTACTGGCAAAACTTTTCTTATTTCAATTATTCTGGCTCTTCTGGATCACAAAATAATATTGCACTTGCTATTGCATCATCTGGTATTGCAGCAACTCTTTTGGACGGTGGTCGAACAGCGCATTCAGCATTGAAATTGCCATTGAATGTGCAGGTAATTGAAACTCCAAATTGTAATATTAGCAAAGATTCTGGGATGGGAAAAGTACTAAGATCATGTCAGCTTATAATATGGGATTAATGCACCATGGCACACAAGAAATCATTAGAAGCACTCAATCGCACATTAAAAGATTTGAGAGGAAATGAGCAGCTCTTTGGTGGTGTATTCATTTTGCTAGCTGGTGATTTTAGACAAACTCTACCAGTCATACCCCGTTCAACACCAGCAGATGAATTGAATGCATGTCTCAAATCATCAGTGTTATGTCGGTATGTGGAGAAAATATCTTTAAGACCAATATGCGTATTCAATTACAACAAGATGAATCTTCTGAACGATTTACAAAACAATTGTTAGATATTGGGAATGGTAAAATAGAAATGGACCAATCCACACACTGTATTACATTACCAGAAAACTTTTGCCACATTGTAAAATCCACTGATGAATTGATTGCAAAAGTTTTTCCAAATTTATCGCAGAATTATAAAAATAATCAATGGGTTAGTGAGCGTGCTATATTGGCAGCCAAAAACATTGATGTGAATTTAATAAACTGTAAAATTCGAAATGAAATACCTAATGAAGAAACAACATATAAATCCATAGATACTGTTGTCAATCAAGATGAATCAGTTAATTATCCAATAGAATTTTTAATTTCATTGGATCTACCAGGAATGCCACCGCATATTTTATCTTTGAAAATTGGTTCCCCAATCATCCTTCTGCGAAATATAAATTCCCCGCGACTATGCAATGGGACTAGGCTATCAGTAAAAAAATTAATGAATAACATAATTGAGGCAACAATTTTAAATGGAAAACACCAAGGAGAACATGAACTAATACCACGCATTCCCATGATACCAACGCATACTCCATTTGAATTCAAACGTCTGCAGTTTCCAGTACGACTAGCCTTTGCAATGACCATTAACAAAGCACAGGGACAATCATTGCAAGTATGTGGATTAAATTTGATAAATCCATGCTTCTCACATGGACAGCTGTACGTTGCGTGTTCACGAGTTGGAAAACAATCAAATTTATTTTTTCTGGCACCAGATGGGAAAACAAAAAATTTTGTATATTTACAAGCACTAATAAGATAAAGTTCACCATCAATCATCAAATATCATGATGATATCGTTTGCAATATTGTTTAATATCACAAGTGAAGAAACATGTTTATTTTACCATCAACTATGTATATCTACGTTTCATTATATTCAAATGACATATATGTAGGGATAATTTTATTATTAATTTCCATTTTGATGTATTGTATACATTTGATCATTAATCACAGCAACGTGTGAACGGGTACAGCTAGTATAATATATAATTTGGAAATAGATTTATGCGTAAAGATAAATAGTGGAGTTCGTAAAATTATGCTAATTGAATTAAATATACATCCCTATTTCCTATAACAGTAATAATCAACATTATTGAAGCAATATTGAATATTAAATATTGAAATAAGTTTTATTCCTGTGAACAGATATGTTTGGTATTTTTTCTTCTTCCCTGATATTTATGATTTGCGTTACATAAACAAAAGCAATGGAAACGTTTCAATCGAATTCATTTTTCTTTTAATAAAAAAATTTGTATATTTCTAGTACCAAACTAATACGTGTTATGTTATTTCCAATTCAAATATCGTGTGTCAGCACAAACCATTCTATTCTATAAATAAGTTACTTTTAGAAGTATTAAAGTTTTTAATGAAAGATAAAAATTTTAATTTATTCATTTTGTAGGCAGCCTGGATAAAAGTGGAGACGAAAGCTATTCTCACTATTCATCACCACATTATCACTAGGAACTACCGGATATCCTTAAGTCACAGTGACAATCGGAACTTTGTTCTCCACATCCGCAACGTCCAGAAGAGCGACAGGGGAGGATATATGTGTCAAATCAACACTGTCCCTATGAAAAGCCAGATTGGATACGTCGACGTCCTCGGTGAGTAGATAGATAGCACTAGCCTTTTTAAAGATATGCACTTGCATTACCGCAAACTCCAAGTTTTATTTTCAGAAATTGACAAGCATCTGATGGCATGGTTTTCTTTTTGTGTTTATGGCATTTAGAATGATTTTTTAAGATTTGTAGCTAAAGTGATTTAATTATTCTGACATATAAAGTGATATATGAATGGAAATAGTCGGCCTGAAACCGTACGAGAGTCTCTTTAGAAAATTGACCTAATATTGCATGCATCAATTAATATTACAATTGATGCATGCAATATTTGGTCAAGGCAAGCATACATCAATTAATATAATTAATATTCCGTATTCAATCTTAACCCCTTCAGGACGAGAGATTCATTAAAGCATTCATACAAACTCAAAAGCAGGATGGAAGGAGATAAAAAGCAATCACTTAAATGTTGGACTGTGGACAGACTGCTTTTGCTTTCTTTTTAATTAATGTTAGTCTATTGATATTAATATATATATATNCAATAATATATATATATATATATGTAACGAAATTAAACAAAAATGATTCTAAATTATTTTATTTATATTGTATTTAAAAACTTGGTATACGATCAAGATTAAAAAATACTTAAAAAGATGCTTAAAATAGTTGCCAGATGCCCGAATACATGTATTTTTTTCAATGCTGCTTGTATTGCCACCCAGTCTCAATTGTATAGGGTTCATTCTACTGTACTGCTCATTCTCCTACCACAAAAATTATTCTTGCTAAATCTTCCTGTGATCAAACAAACCTTTAAAACGCAAATAAGATATTATTAAAATCAAATCTAATAATCGCGGTGGTAATTTATTTCAAAGAAATACAATCTCGCAGTTCAGGATAATTGCCCATATGGAATTTCTGATGCTTTTTGCATCTTTACTTAGCAGATTTTCTTTTTGGCCACAATATTTTTAAAATTCGTATATTCCTTATGTTACTGCTTGGATTTTATGAGACGTGTTATCTGCATATTTATTCGAGAATATTTTTCCAATATAAATACATTTATTATTTTCAGAAATACTAATAGCATAACAAACAAATGTTTTCTGAATTTTATTTGTACTATAACTTATTTGTGCATAGTTTTTATTTCCACTTAATCAATATCATAATATTTCTTAAAATATTTAAAAAAAATATTCCACTCTCGGTATTTTCCTTTAATATATTAAATGGGAAAATCTTTGTAAATATATTTTTTAGTATCAAATGGAAAACATATAAATTTAAAGAAAAAAAAACTTTTAGCATCGTAACAAATATTTTAAGTAATTTAAGTTTATTAATCAGTCCTTTCCAAACAAAGAAAATCCCACTGTTCTTTATGGAAACTATAAAATGTTTAAAAAAATTTTGAATAATCAGTTTGAAAAGAAAAACTAAATTGATTATCATTGTTTTGTATGGTAATAAAAGATTTGTATTTTATGTCTATAATAAAAGAATGTTTGAAACAGTTTATCGGGTTTCATATTTAAAGCGTTTTCAGATAAATAAACGTACCCTTAATCTTGTGCTAAAGCTTTGAAAAAAAAAGAATCTACTTCCCAACCGTCACAATATAATCTAGTCACAATAAATTCTCAATTTATCACACCATTTAGTTGCAACTTAAGTAAGGGCAAAATCGTAAATACCGAAGCTCAAGTTTTAATTGTATAACAAAAATCTCCTGGGAGCCATTTTTCTGATGCAAAATGTTTCAAAGCTTGCCTAAGCCTGTTCATTTTAAAGAAAGTGCTAAGTCCCAAAGGATGTATTACTGTCCCCGTGGTAAAGTTATAAGATGAAAACCTTACCTTGACGTTGAGAGATAAAGTGGCGTAAGATTTTATTTTATATTCTGCTTTTACATATAAGGAATTTGAGTTTTGAAATAGACAAAGAATAAAAAAAAATAACGTGTAAAATTTTATTTTTACTGCGAAAGGTTACTGGGGTGAATGTGTTAAAATAATAATGATGTTTTATTGTATGTACATAGTAATTAAATTAACTTTTACCGACATGGCATGAGCAATGAATGTACTGGGAAGCATAAACAATAGCATGGTGTATTTTTTCTGTGGGTATATATCTAATTTGTCTAAAGTTGTCTCATTGTTTTTTGCCACAGTTGATCTTTGTTTCTTTGCCTCTTTTACTACTGCTGCAATTCATGACTGGTTTTAACCAATACCTACCGATTTAAGACTGCTTGTCACTAGTGATGGAGTTTTATCATTAAAACAGTTTATTTTTTTAAAGATTTGTTTCAGATGAATGCTCCAGTAATCAGTTCAATCAAGCTCTTTATTCTGCAAGACAAATAATATTTATAAATAATTTTCTGTTATGTGTTTGCTTTTTTAGAATTTTATAGTTCGGCCTCAATTCAGTGTAGTATCTAACTTTAGGTCACTTACCTTGATTTTTGTGCCTATTTTTATAATTTAATTTTAACTTAGCAATAATTAGTTTCTAATATCGAAGTGGAATCCATTGAAGATGATGGGTGTAAATAGCTCTAAAATCTAATATTTACATCAAAGGCTTTTCCATTTTTTTAAAAGAAACTAAACATAGAGAACAACAAGGAGAAAATATTTATAACATAATTCAAACTCGATTCTTCTACTAGGACTCTGCAAGGTTTATTAGGAGAGTTTGCTTCGAATTTTTGCATTGGATGCGTTACAATTTACTCTATTGCTTACAAATTTGCAAATGTCCTATCATATTTTATTTTTAAAGTCATCTCCAGGCGTGTTAAAAAGTTTCATTCAAGTCCCTTACAGAGCTTATCTGTATTGATGATAAATTTGACTTTCATCACATAATCATGTAATCTTGAATACATTGGACTAACTAAACACCCTCCAAATTTTCTGCCTTTATTTGAATTTAACCACCACACATTTCCTTTTTTAATTTTTCTCCATTAATTCTATTTCCCTTTTTCAATTAGAAACTATGCTCTTTCTTTTTATTTAATCTCTTCTGTTTTGATATTTTATGGCTTCAAGTGCTCGAAATATATCGACTTTTTTCATCTTTAATTACGAAGCTAACGATGTTATAATAAAAAGTATTAAAAATCAAAAATATTACGTAAAAATAATCATAGAGATATAAATAATTCCTGGCAAGCAAACTAATTGCTTTTAAATGAAGATAACGTCAAAACATTAAGAGTAAAATATACAAACTGATTTTAATCAGTCAATAAACAAAAATACAGAAGTTCTTAGATTACTCCTCCTCGAAACGAACTTTTAATTTTTCTTACAAGATTATCTATTCGTAATCTACTAAACAAACGCAGACTTTTTTCTTTAAACTTTATTAAACGCAAGATAATAAGTAGTCAAGTTTCACTTTATGTTCTTCTCCTTCTACGGATAATGCTATCTTCGCAAGCTGTAAGCAACGTTAAGACGATAAAAAGAAACAAAAGCGAGAAAAAAAAAGAACAGCCGAACACCTAGATCTGATCGTTTTAGCTAGATGAATACTAATTCCATAACTCATAAAGAACAAAAGAAAAAAAGTAGTAAATTCTCTCTAAAAGTAATATGCTGAATTAATTAGGTTGCTTCGCTAGGTGAAATATAATTATATATATTTTATGCCTTGAGAAAACCCCTGTGGGTTAGTCATTAGCTTAATTATCCGACTTTTTTAATATCCGACTGATTTGCATTCGATCACTTTTGCAACGTTGGTATATAAAATGTTGCAATTTCTTTTCCCGGATCGAGGAGGAATATTTGATGATATTCTTTAAATATAATCGCCTCCGACCGCTAAGATGATTAAATATTAAGTAAAACATTAACTTATTACTTAAGATTCAGATGTTTCAGATACTTTAATCTCATTAACTGAAAAGGCTATTAGTGAATTCTTCCGAGTTTGAAATTTAAGAAAAAAAAAGGAGAATTAAATTTATACTTTTCTTTCGTAAGTACTTTTAAAGTTTTGTTGAAGTTTAGAAGAATAAAGAGTGTTGGAATATGTTTGGGATAATCCATTTATATTAAAATTGTTGACAGAACGATACTATACTTTGCAGTAATAAGGAAAGCTTAAAAAGCCAAAAAAATGTATATACATATATATATTTCAGATAAATATAAAGGTATAAATATGTGCAAATGAAAAGTACGCCCAATCTATGATACTATTATATTGCAATTAACATAATCACTGAATACTTCGAAGAAAGTTTTATTCAAAAAAAGGCAAAGAAATCTGTGTAACTTTATCTGAAAGTTGTTAATTTTCTAAATTTCTTTTCAAACAAATTTAACGTAAAGGAATTTCAAATTTAATCGAGGGAAGAATCTTTTAAAGTTAATTTTTTTTGTTTTTCTTTCTTTTAGGTACGTTCAGAACTTCCAACTTTTTTGAAAAGATTTTTTTTTTAATTTTACTTAAAAGTTGAAAACTATATTAACTTTGAAACTTTAATGTGAGTTTTTATTTGGTTTCTCCATCTATTTCAATGAAAATTGGTTTGTACTTTAAGAAAGAAGACTGAGATTTTTCATGTTTAAGAAGGTACATAAGATACTCGTCGCACAGTTTTGATAGAAAATTGTTAATCATTTATATGAAATAAATTTTTCAATAATTACGTACAGCACATTCACTTTTAATTGCCAAGAATTTTATGCTTTAGGTCATATCATTAAGCAAGAATTGTTATTTTATATCTTCAAATGTGTTACTCTCATAATCACTAATAAAAAGAAACAGTATATTTTATTCAGATTTCGTTAACTATTTTGATAACTACTTTCAAAATAAACTGCTTTTATACTCTCTTCAGTAAAATGTTGAGATAAATATTACCATAAAATTTAGTCTTTTGATGGTATCCAACGTTTACAGCCAATTACACTGGTTAAATAGTCTAGATCAGTAGTAAAACACCCAGAAAGTAGCGCACAGAAAAATATGATTAATGTAAATACACTGTAAAA